ATTGGAATAAAAAAAGATTTTTAAAAACCCCTGATTTAATCATTACATAAGGGATAAATTGATCATTCAAGTATAAATTTATCAAAGTGGGAGATTCCTTGTCTATAGAATATAAACATATATATAATATTGGTGATTATATTATTATAGATGGATTAATCCATTCATGTATATATCTATTACATATATATTACTTACCCACAATGATTTGTCTAATCTTTACGTTTTCAACTGGGCAATCAATTGTTCTGTATTTTATGGGATTCATTGAACCTGTTCTAATCCTTACAATTGAATTTTTTTCTAACAAACTAATTGATTTTATAATTCTAAACCAAATTTGAGAAAAAAAACAATATAAACGTTAGAAAAAGAAGATGGACCGTTAGGTTGTATTATCTTGATTCTGACAACGTGTTTAAAACCGTTGGGAAAAAGCTGGATCTCAACAGCACATGGTCTCTTAGTGAATCCACGAGTTGGGGGTCCGGGAAGGTCTGCTTACTAAAAGACGTTCTCAACAAGAAAACAAACGAATTGAATTTATTGATATGTATTAAAATTGTAGATGTTAATGCAAATTTGCCTGAAGATTTTGCCGAAGATTTATATAATGATAATAATAGTAATACGAATAGTAATTATAATAATGGCCAATTTGATAGCACTTGTGAGTTTTTAGAAAGACACGCCGAATTATTTGGTGACGATAGATTCGCTGATGTTACATTTAGATTGGATTGTGGATCGACCGTCAAAGCAAGCAAAATATTAGCTGCAGCACATTCAAGATATTTTAAAAATCTTTTGAGCGGTGATTGGGCAGAAACTAGGAAAGGGGAAGTAGTAGAAATAAAGGATGTGAGCAAAGAATCCTTTAAGTTAATTTTATATTATTTCTATTCAGGAAAAATTTCAATATCTCCTGATAATGACGATCAAACCATTGGAGTATTGAAAGAAACATATATCAAGTGTGACATGTGGGGAATCGATCGTCTTTTGATTTTGATACGAGAACAATTAATTAAAAGATTGAGTAAAGACAATTGGGATGTATTGTTATTGTTAAGTTATAAGTTTGACGACAAAAAATTAAAAGACAAAATTTTAAGCTTCATATCAAAGAATTATCCAGAAATCGACAATACTATAAACATCAAGAGATTTGTTGACGAAGCAGAAGTGGAATGGGGCAGGGATATGATTTTTTCAACAGTTTTTGATATTAATGATATTGATGACGATGGAGTACCTTATACTTGTTTTTGTCATGATCTAATCAGGTATATTAATAAATATTT